TCTTAATCATCAGACTGACAATGTTACAGAATACCGGACGCATAAAAGTATTTAACAATGGATCTTGCTTCCATTAATGTCACTCCAATGGGGTGCACCTACAAACCCAGCAGGGCAACAATTTTTATGTTCCAGGGAGGTGGAGACCTGGAGGAGTATGTGAAGGATTTTGTCGATGTCAGCCACCTCTCCCAACAACTTTGTGCACATGGTTTTTGGATCGGACTGGACGATGAGATCCGGCAGGTGATGCCAGGGGGAAACTCTTACCGGACCATGGCTGAGTACATCAACTTTGCCCTCTGGGTCGGCAGATCTTTTTACTGGGGGGAAGATAGAAAAGGATCCTACCAGTCAGCGGCCAGTCTCACTCACCACCTGTCATCAGACCCAGCGACCATGCCCACTGCGGCCACGGAGCCAGAGCCCACCACAGACCGAGAGACCCAGCCATTCCATGCCTCAGACATCATGTCTGAGCCTAAGCCCACTACAGAGCTAACAGCCTCGTCTGTCCCGGAAGAGAAGCATGAGGTCCCATCTGTCCAGGTGTGTGAGCCGGCCAGTACATCCGTGCCAGTAGGAATTTTAGTGGAGCTGGAAAAAGAATAGCTTATAGACTGGAACACAGAGATAGCGCTACCCACCCACAAACCTTGTCTGCCACTGGTCCCCCTCCTGCACAAACATCTCTATCACCACTGGTCCCAACTAGCAAAGATTTGTCTTCATCATTGCTGCAAGTTCTGTCCAGCACAGTGTTGTCACCACCATCACCATCCCTGTCTATCAAAAAGTCTGTCAATGCACCCAACCTTCCTCTTCTGTTCACTCCAAAGGCCGCCGTTCACTCTGCCCCATCTCCGCTGGATTCCTTCAGCTCTTTGGCTTTGCAAGGCAACCCGACTCTGCCTTGGGACTCTCAGTCACAAGTTTCGCCGTGGAATAGGGATTCCCTGGCTCTGCCTTCTCCCTCAGCTCCACCTCAAACCGTTGGCTCCACCCTGGCTCTTCGCCCCCTTAGCTTCGCCCAGGACCTTCATCCCTTCAGCTTCACCGGGCTCCCTCGTCCCACCAACACCTGGGTCAATCGTTGCCAAACCCTTGCCACAGACTTCTGGGCTGTCTTCTGTGCTCCAGGCATCCACCCCTCCTCCCCTATGGCTCCGTCGGACTCCTCCATCCCTCAGTCTTCACCGGGGTACTTGCTCACACTGGTCTTGCCTTGGTCCACTGGTCTTGCCTTGGTCCACTGGCCCCCAGAATCCACTTCAGCTGCTCGTCGCCAGGACTCCACCTTGTTCTCCAGGTCCAGCAACGCCACCGGGTCTCTTAGTCCATCAGGGGTCGTCTGGGTCTCACCATCTCCCTGTGTCACCTCTGTCGGTCAGGCTCAAATTACCACCTAGGCTCCTCCCTCCATCATTGCCGCAGTGGATTTCCTCCATCATGGCCATCTCCTGGGTCACTCTGAAATCTCGTCGGCTGCCTGTACCACCCTGGATCCATCCCCTCCTCCATGGTTCCTCCCATCATCTTCACCATGGCTGCTACCATCAGCTCCCCCTGGTCTTCATCTGTCTGCCCCTTTCACCACCCCTTTGCCTTCTCTTAGCCCACCTCCAAAGCCCCCACCATCCTTCCCTCATTTCTTCTGTTACAGCGCGAGGTTGCGCCTTCCAGGAGGGGGCTTTATGTCACAATTATGTTTAGGTAGTTTCATTTTCATGGACTTAGTTTGTATTCATCTGTTGCCTGTTTCCTTTCAGTTTCCCGCCACTCATCAATTTCCATGGACACTCCCTAATTATCACTGCTGTTTGTCACTGTCTCATTATCACTGTGTATTTAAGTTCCCCTGTGCTCACTTTAGTTGTTAAAAGTCAACTGAAAAGGCTAAACATACCTAAACTTTATTTCTTTCACTTTAACTATCAATAATCAGGATCAAATAAAAGATTATTACATGAATTAAAGTTCGATTGATTACATTAACAATCGCGAGAACAGCTTTAGATCAGGCATTGTCTTAAGATGGGACTCAACACTTCGCTGGGACTAAACACTTCACCTGGACGAAGCTTTATGAGAATTTGTGCTGTGTACTAGATACACGCTTTGAAGCTTCAGTGTCAAATGTAACATCATGGCACGCAGCCATGTTTAGAATTTTATCTTCGAACTTCCTTTTTTGCGTTAGCCCTGTATACAGTATTTCTTAGTTGGTGAAGTGGATTTACTTATTGAGTTAACAAAAGTTATCATGAACATTTTAATGTTTGAAGCTGATGATATAACAAATGTTAGTAGAGCAGGAAGATTTTAAAACGAGCAGTTTATTCATAAATCGTTAAGATCTTACCTTCATGCTGTGGAAGTATAAGCTGGAGGACAGAACACAACGAGCACATTGAGGAAAAGGGGTGGGGTTACATAATGTCTATAGGCTGTAAAGTGCCCCAATTATGCAATGCAAGTAATATAATAGAATTTTAGATGTAATGTTTTAGTTTTATCGAGGACGTAAACAAATTCCAGAGCTGGCTTTAGCCACTTATGTTATTTCATGTGTCAAACGCCTACAAACATTTTGGACCTAAATTTGTAATTATGTACTAATTTTGTAAATGTATTTTCTATATTTATACTTTATGATGTAATTTTTCGATTTGATCAAGAATGTAATGCCAACGCAGTTTGTTTATAGTAGCCAGTTAGTTTGATGGTATTTTGTCTGTAGGCTAAGACAAACGTCTATAAATTGAAAAATATATATGTAATGCAACAGCAAACTTCAGCTGCTGTTATCAGTGTACAGTTTAGGTTTAACACAGTTGCCACATATACACCTAAAGAACGATACACTGAGTAAACTAAGTTTTGTGAATAGAAAAATGTTTGTTCATTACATCGATAAAACAATAACTTCAATAAATGGTATTATCAGTCATTTATTCAGTTATATTAAATGTTTAATCAGGAGAAAACGTATCTCAAAAGCTAACAAGTATCAGTAGCATTTTCAAATAACAGTGTGTGGAAATTCTTATAGTAGAAGAGAATAGAATAGAATAGAATAGAATAGAATAGAATAGAATAGAATAGAATAATAATGAAAAAATGTACCAGTCAGAAACATTTTGTAAGAGCCGTGTTTGGGGAGGTTCTAATTGACTCTCTTCATTGCCGCTTTCGGGGTCTGATTCTGGCTCAAACTGATACAGCAGTGTTGACACCATTATTTATTGACCAGAGCACATGCAACTTTCGCCCGTAAAGGTATAGCCTAATGGGCGTGAAGTTTCTAGACAATGTGGACTACGCAATTTAGCCAATTATAACACACCGGCCCAACTAATCTGAGCCCATTGCCTGTTTCTGGAGATCAGTCTGCTGAGGGAATGGTTTCATAGTATCAGGAAGTCAACTGTTCGTTCAAATGACAGAGGAGAAAGCGACTTACAATAAAGGTGAAATTTATGAAAAATAAGGCAAAAAAAAAAAAAAAACACAGACATGTTAAATCATGCAAAGAAAAAAAGCATGTAAACCACCCCTTTAACAAGACTGTCCATCAACAAACAATTGTGTATAGTTCTAATTTAATGTTTTCCAATGTGGTGCACGTGGGAACTGTATCAATAACAGTGCATAAGTTAGGACAGCCCTAAGATTAATTAATTATCATTGTAACATTAAAGTTTGCAAAACAAATTTTGCTCCATCCTTTATCTTTACTCAAAGTATAAGAACGACAGACAGACAATCTTAGACAGTTTTAGGTAGTGGCCCGCAGCTTCTTGGCAGAAGTATTTAGTAGGCCTAAGACTGTAATAACGTGAGTTTAACGTTTAGTCGGAAATTGTAAAACACAAGAGTAGGCTATGTGTTTAAAATAGAAAATACATCAATAATTAGAATACTTGCAGGTTGTGATTCCAAGGAGCAAGCTGGTCCAAATAAACTGATCCATCTTTCAAGAGCGTTTTGCGAATCGCGCGTTGTAAAGTCATCAGTAAAATGACGTTTGAGGGCGGGTCAAGTTGTTCCGACGGGCATTATAGTGAAGTCGGTAGGATTCGACAACTGTTAAGGCCAATTTATACTTCTGCGTCGAGGGTACGCCGTAGTGTACGGAGTTCTTTAATGTGCTTAATCTCAATTATTTGTGCTGAAAATTAATTAAGTAAATGTGTTTACTGCATTAGAATGTAGATAATTTAAAAATAGAGATATTAAAATGACTGCAAACACAGAGGACAGGGGTTTGATTTACAGGGAGTGCATGAACTAAAAAACATAAAGTTAATAACATTTATGCTATGTTATTTTAGATAGGCCAAAGTGTCTCCCAAATACATAGGCTACACAATTGCATCAAGCACACAGATATTTTTCTAAAAATCTTTTAACTGGTGAAGATTTTGAAATATTCTCAAAATTGTAATCCTATTCTAAAATCTAACTGAAATGTCAAGTCATATTTTTAGTTATTTTAAATATTTAGTTGCCACCGTGGATAAAGGCGTTATATGCTCAAAAAGGTACCTGCAGTGTGATCAGAGTGGTAATGGTGATCATACTAGTCGTTTTTAGCTTTTTCATACTAGTCGTTTTATTTTTTACCAGTAGGCTATTGAATTGTTGATAGCCTATCAAGAATAGACATTTCAACTAGTGACAATTTAATTATTGATATCAGGAATTCACATTTTTACTAGTAACAATATAATTATTGATATCAAAAATTATATTTCTACTAGTAAAAAAATCAATCCTTGATATCAACAATTCATTTTGAATGGCAGCCTATGGTGAAATTTCACTTGTGAAAATACAATTACAGATATCAGCAATTAAATTGTTGATATCAAGAATGTAATTGTTGATATCAAGAATTCATATCCTGGAAATGAATAAAATCTAATACGCTTGCCATAATGACAGTAAAAGGGTGATGATGAACGACTTTGCCTGCTTACAGGATGTGATGTAGCCATTACTTCCTGTTGCAAGCGCTAGTCTGCGAGTAAACATGGCTGCCTCCAGTTGTAGAGGCGTGAGATCGATTATATGGAAGTATGGGAGCTGCGGGAAGACTTTATGTGTGTCCCGATCACAGACGGCTCCGCAGGTAAACTGTATTCTTATGTTTGTTCCGACATAGAGCTGGTTTTGCGACAAGTTAGTCGTAATTGGTAGTGATGCTGTAGAGAGCAGATGTCCTTGTGGCTGAATAACGTTACTAACAGGCGAGTGCTTATTGAGTGTGTAAAAACAAACGTGAAGATTGGCAGAGTGGACTGTATACTGTTTTTTCATTGCAGTGTATACGTATTGAGTTCATAACCGGAATTATTTGAAATATTTATTTGTTGTGTTTACGTGACATTATGTCCATTGCCTGTGCCAGCAAACAAATAATAACTTACACATGCAATTTTACATCCAGAAATAACGTTTTAGTACTTGTTTTAAATTCAGAATATTTCCCTTTAACGTTACATCTAATATTGATGTTTTGTCATCTCATATGAACGTGATCACCAAGGCTTAGCCGTGTTCTTAAAGTCACCATGACATCAACTAATTCTTTTGGTTTATTTATTTTTTTATGTAACGTTAATATTTCTCTGTTTATAATAAACGATTTAAATCCGTGAACATATCAGCGTTTTTTTTATTAATGTGTCCTCGTATTCTTTTATCAAATTAACTGTGTTTTTTCTTTATTAATTCCAGTTGCCAGTCAGGCAGATTTGTGTGTCATCGGCTTTGTGGAAGAAGAATCTGGCAGCGGCAGGCCCACAGAAATTCACACAGGAGTTCATCAATAAACAGGTGGAGGAGTTTGAAGTTGGTAAACGTCACTTGGCCAACATGATGGGGGAGGACCCAGAGACATTTACACAGGAGGATATTGATGTGAGTTACTTCACCACACTATTCTATATCCATGTTCAGACTTATTCTGTACCATTTACTGTTGTTAAAAAAAAAATAACAACAACAATTTTTACCCTGATGCCCAAGTTATTTAAAGGGGACATATCATGCTAAATCCACCTGTTTAGCGCTTAAATGCATTTTTTTTTTTTGTATATTTGGAGTGTTTATAAGTACAAAAAAGTTGAAATTATTCTCTTCAGGTGTTTCGTTTATAACTTTATATTCTGTTTCGGTCATATTTTGCAACCTGTTCCGATTTTTCTGTTCTCTATGACGTATTTTGAACAATTACGTCACAGAATTTGCAGCGGAACTGACAAATACGTACATTGACTACCAGCCCAACACTTCGAGCAATCCGCCATTTTTATTTCTCGCTCCGACTTTGTAGTCCAAGCTCAAAGATGCAGAAGTTACGAGAGGGCAAGTCAAAATGTTTTGTTGTAGGATGTAGTGACCCACACGCTTCATTACACCATCTCCCAGCATCAGAACCTCTTTGAAGTGCCTGGTTGAGTTTTATTTATCAAGGAAATGTACCCACATCTGTGGGTAATGTCATGTTTTGTCTGCGCAAGCACTTCAAGGATTCCAACTTCAAAAATGTCCGCCAGTATAAAGAAGGGTTTCAATTAAAGAGGTGTCAATTCCTTCTATCTTTGGAGACGACGAACAGAGCATTTCGATAAGCTGTAAATATCGTTAATATCAATAAAGTACTTTACTTTCTTAACACACATGGTGGTCATGGTTTAGCAGTACCTTTGTCTTTTTTTGTTTTTGTCTTGAAGTAACATTAGACATCTGCAATATTATTGTTGTTGAGTTTCATCAATGGTCATTTAGCTGCAGTGTTTTATGATGCTTTTCTTAATGTATCATATTATCAATACAGATTTTTAGTGTTAAAGATTAGACCGTTGTTAGTGGATTTGAACCGAGTGTGATCTCAGCAACCTGGAGAGCGGGTGGGGTATGACACATCTCTTTTTATTTAAAGAGGCCGCTCCAAAACGAGTTGCTCACAGACGCACATCCGAAAGGGGGTAGAATAGGGGCCTGTGGCCATAATAATGAGGAATTCAGACCCAAGCATTGCAGTTTCGCTTTATATAGACCACAAATGTATGCTTTATATGTAAAAAGGAATGATTCAAAAGCATGATATGTACCCTTTAATGCACAACATTATTGTTAATCTTGAGAGGGGAACACCCTCTGATTCATTGACATCCATTTGCTGTATGGCAATGATAATACAGCAGTGTGAATCATCCATATTGCATTTCATATTTATGTAAATAACAATATTGATTCAGCAGTACATCTGATCGTGAATCTATGGCTTATTTAAAAAAAAATTAGAACAGCGTGGGATGTGCAACGCTGCAAAAGATGCAAAACACAAGGTCAACGGTCAAAGTCCATCTAGCATGTGTTAACATAAAAAAAATTGGAAAATTAGCACAGTTGAGTGTTAAAAAGGTGTTCTATGTGAACTGCCTTTATACCTTCTGCTTCAGCTGCTAAACCAATGTGTGTCATTTGTTTGAAATCGTATATAAGTGGTGAAAATATTACACAATATATAGCCTAGGGTTCCTATGCAGTTTTAAAAAGTATGGAATTTGCTTTGAGTAATTTTCATTTAGGTCTTCATAAGTATAGAAATAAGAAAACAGAGTATGAAAAATATTTGTGTTTTCAGGCCATTGCCTCTATCCAGTGTTCTGAAATATAAAATTATGAATATCTAAAAATAAATATCATACAAGCATATTGTTTAGTGATTGTCGAACACAAATGAATTCGAAGTGCACATTTTCATTATGCGAAACTGTTTGTCTTTACCATAAGTGAGTCTCTTTTGAACTCTTTTGCCACTCATTCATACCAGCAGCAGAGAAAGGAGCGAACAATCATCTAAATTAGACTATTCTTTGTGATTGGATGTTGCACGATCACAAAGCAACATTTTCAGCATCAAACTCGTGTCAGACTTAAATATTTACAGGTTATAAAGTGTTTTAGGTTTCTTCTTATGTAAGCATATGCTACTACTTTGAGAAAACCAATGAAAAAATTATTATAAAATAAAATGAAAAATATTCACAGATAACTGTACTAGGCCTATATACCAAAAATAATGCTGTATAAATCATCCATGTTAAATATGGTCTGAAAAATAATTTGGAAGATTGGGAAGTTTGGAAATTTGACTATGGAAAAGTATGTAATTTTGAAATGTGTAGGAACCCTGCATAGGCTTTACAGGATATTTCAAATACTCGTTCTCTGTGTATAATACAGAAAAAAATTAAGACAAAGAAGAGCTACATTGATACTTAAGACGTGTGAATAAATCTCTCTAAAAGTGTGCTGTATGTTACAAAATTCACAATTTAGTTTTCTTTTTTGGTGGCCTGTCTGCTGTTCTGACTAGAGTTCTAATTTCATTTTCAAAAAATATGGCCCAATATCAGGTCCTTGATTTGCAATTTGTTTTATTGTCTCCCCAATCTTCTAATGTTGACACATTTGTCCAATGACTGATAAAGTAAAATTCTCCCCAGGTTTTAGGTCTAACAAGTAAATTAAATCATGAGCAATTTCTAAATAAAAATATTCCTTAAGATCATATTCTATTCTATTTTTTTTTTTTTTTTACGTGCCTGGATTGTCTTTAATAAAATATAAGTTGATATTCTAGAACAGTGGTTAGCCATTTTGACTTTAAGGCCCCCTTTACTCCACAATAATTTGTAAAGACTAAAGGTGGGCGTACACTGTGCGAATTTGGACACTCAGGAGGTCATGAGCCATTGCACACGTTACGATTCAGTTAACCTGATAATCGTGTCAAAGCAGGTGGTACACGGCACGACTGCATGGTGAGCCGGCGGCAATCGCATGAGCTTTCACACTAAACCGAGACTGGACCTTTCAATGTTGCTGCTTTAGCTTTGTATAAAGAATAGAAAGTCAAGTGAAGTCACCTTTATTTTTATAGCGCTTTTTACAATACAGATTGCATCAAAGCAGCTTCACAGTGATAACATGGAAATGATACAGCAAGTTTGTTTCTAGAAGAAAATTGTGTCAATGTCCACCTTAAGTAAGGCAGATCAGTAATATTAAATGTCCCCAACTATGAAAGCCAAAACGAAAGTGTGTTAGGTTGTGTGTAACTATATTTTGGGGACAAAAGTGTACACGGAAGTGACCAAAATGTGACAAATTCCGAAAACCTACCTTTAGGGAGGTCCTCATTTGTAAATCTGGTATAAAAATATAATAATTTAAAGGGTTTTTTTAAAATGTAAAAATTCATAAAGTTTTCTTTGAGTATGTTAGGAGTAGTGTTATTGTAAGGGGATAGAATGTACATTTTTGTACAGTATAAAAAACATTATGACTATGGAATGTCCCCATTTAGATGGCCAAGTAAATGATGTATATTAAAATCTATATTTTTGATAACAGCCAGTTATATAAAATCGGCGCACTATGGACACAATTCATCAGAGGGGTAATGTGGCCAATCTGGCCATATATTTCTTAGCCATTTAGCCTAGTTTATTGCACAAAGTATACATTATGAATTTTTATTGGAACATAAGAAAACTAGAAATGTGTAGTCTGATACAATCATTGTGCTACTCCTAAAGCTGAAAGTTATTAACTTTCTGCAGGTGCCACATAGAACTTCTGGGACCCGCTAGAAATTGGCATACATTTACAAACCGTATTTATGTCCAATATTTTATTCTGTGCCAGAAAGAAATGGCCTTAATTGATTTATCCCACTAATTTGGTCCAATTTCTCGATTCTTAGAATTATTCCCCAATCTCTGTCACCATTAATGAATTGAGTCCTCAGAGTAAGTGTGGCTAAAAGAAGCTGACACGTACCGTCCCTCTGCCAGCTGATCGGTGGGGAAGGGGTGGAAAATGGCTGCGACTGCAGGGCACAGAGCAAGTACGGGATGGGGCGCCTGTGCCTGAGCTGGCACCGCTGTGTGTGCCAAGCGCTTCAGCCGACATGACGTTCCCGTGAATGCGCTGAAGGTGTGAAACAGCTGCACAGCAAGAACTGCCAGGAGGAAGTAATTAATAAAGACTGCAAGCCTCACCTGCTTTCTCCCGTTGTCTTTCGTCTACTCGCACACACATTCTGTTTGCACCCGTCAGGTGGGCTCTGACGTTCACAGACCATGCCGCTGGGAAGAAATTTGCTGAGTTTTTGACTATTCCAACTTGAGTCAAACTTTTAAAGGAGAATGCAATTGAGGCTTAAGAAGTTTTGGAAAATAATGCACGTTATATGATCGGCCTTTGTTGTGTATTTTTTGGAGCTTGGCAGTGTGATACCATTAATTTCTATTTTAGGAATAAAATCAGCTTGGCCATTCTGCAAAATATCACATTTTTGTTTCACAGATAATATTACTGATGTCAAACATAAGCTTGTATAAAATAGATTATTTTTAAGTGTACTATTCCTTTAACACATGGGTTAATAACAAATAAGAGTGTTCAAAATAAAGAAAAAGGAAACCTTAAAAAAAAAAGATATGTATATATTGCCAAGTTTTTAGAAATGTTTTCATGTTTGTTTTGAAACCTTCATACCGTTTAAAAATAATAATGAAACTACTTGTTAATATTTGAGTCCTTTTGTTGAACTAAAATTAATTTTATTACGTCATTCTATTTATTATGTCCACTTCTCTTCAAAAGTTTGGAACCTCTAAGATATTTATTTATTTTATACTTATTATTATAATGTTAAGTCTCTAATACTCACCAAGGCTGCATTTATTTGACCAAAAATACAGTATAAAAAGTCCTGAAGTGTTGACTAGTCTCCTTCCCTTTACCTCTGTACAGATAAAACGTCAAAAAAATAGTTCCAGTTCACATGGCTGCGCGGAAGCGCTTAATTAAGTCTGTGTTTTAAATTTAGGCCTGACAAATTGTTGAGGTCAATTTGTAAAGAAAGACTACACGTCTGCGCACATATATATTCAAACGTGCATACTTATACACTAAACACATAATACGCGTGCACGCTGTCAGCATTTTCACAGGTTTGCGTACTAAAGATTGCGTAGAGATAAAAAACAAATATATTCTCGTGCCACCAGGCACTGTTGTTGTGTGGATGAGCATGCAGGAGCGCGTTAGGGGTTTCCTGTTAGAACCAAGCGTGCCGCACAAGCCCTCAAAAGTGAAGCCAAAACGTCTCGAACTTTAGGTCATAAACCCCGCCTCTCCATGTTATTCAACGGGACGTGAGACCAACTACATAAATTACACTTCACATATCCCTTTTCTAAGGATAGTTTCTGTCATTTACTGTAGTTTCTATCACGTTGATGTAATTACAAGTGTTTGTTTTTAAAAAAGTTTGTTTTTAGTTTAGTTTTAGTATAAAAATGGTGCTGTGACATTATGATTGACAGCTGTGATTGATAGGTTCTCTATGCGAAGTTGTCACTGAAGCACCAACTGACTTTTTTTCATAATGTTGACTATGTGGTTAATAGTTGTATTTACTTTATTGTAACGAGGTATTGCAATCAGCAGACAGAGGCCACTTAAGAAAAGTGCTGGGGCGTGTGCTTGCGATTGATTCAGCGAGAGTAAAGGCGGGGCCTTGAATTCACGGCTTTACTTCCTGCTCACGACTGCGCATGTCTGGTCCCGAAAACGCAAGTGCGTAGACTCAATTCCCAAGATGTCAGCGTCATATCGGGACATTGGCGGCTTCAGTTCTCTCCGATGGAAAAGAGCAAAGGGGTGTCGTCCATCTTTTTTTTTTTTTTTTTACAGTCTATGGTTCAGACAGTGTCGTGTAAGCGGCCCCTAACTTAATAACTAATGATCTTTGCAACGGCAGTAAATCAATAAAAACTAACATTAGCTGGACAATAACTTTATAAAGCTCCTATGAAACAGTCCATATTGTTAAAAATGCTGTATAAATGTTGACTTGACCCGAAACGTTTGAACAGTAATGTATTTTTTAATAAATGAATATTCAAATGTCATTTCATTGAGCCATGTGATCTCTTGGATATCAATAACTATTCAGTGTTTTGCGTCACGGCCCTTCCTGACAAGCAGATTTTCATTTAAATGTGTGGCATGTAAGGGGCAGCGAGAGGGAACAAATGTCATGTAAAATTAAATTACACCTTGGTGCAGGAAACCTTGACTAACTACAGGGAAAAAAATGATGCTACAAAAAAAGATGGGATGGCAGGATTGGTATGGTATAAACATGTATGCCCTTGTCACCTGAGAAGGTCAGGCACTTTTCGGTTTTTGATACTGTGTTTTCCATGGCACATGAAATGAGTGGTCAGATGTCTCAAAAAATCTGTTTTGAGGGAGTGCGTGTAGCACTTTAGCTTTCCCAGATTGGGCTCGTGTGAAGTGTAGGCAGCAGAGGTTTCTAGAACACTATGACGAGGCTAAACCTCCCTGAGGGAGTTGGGCCATATTGCTTTTCAAGGTATGAACAGGTGCTGCCTTCATCTGTCACTGCATCCTGCACCGTTTGTCTGTTCTTCTCTTTGTGTTGCTTTATTCCACTCAGTTTCCCTCCACCCTTTGGTTTTGATGGCCCAATACATGGATATCTGTTCTCTTGGAGTGCATCTGCCATCACCTTACTTTTTTTCTTTCATCTTTTCTGTCTCTTTATCCTGGCAAACAGGGTCAAAGACCCAATAGGTTGCCATTCTGAATGTCTCATGTTATGCGAATGAAAGTCTTATACCCCGTTCAATGACATCACTGGAATCTGTTAACCTGTTTGGCGTGAGGTTTAATGTCCCCAACAACATCTGTAGCCCCATTTAGCAACTTGTTAGCAACCACATTTTCAAGACAAATGTAAAAGCTTAAAAAATATGGGGGTAGGAGTGAGATATTACTGAACCTTATTTCAGGCTTTTAACCAAAATACCTTTCAGAAAAGCCCATTGACAATGGAATGGAACTGGAAGTAATAAAATGCTAACTTGTTTGTTGCTTCTGAGTTTTGGCCTACAAAAATATGTCATCCCTGCACCACTCTAATGATATAATAGTTATAATTAAATGACATTTTGCATAAAACAAGTGTGTATTCTTATGTTTGTTTGTTTGTTTGTTTGTTTGTATAGAGGAGTATTGCATACCTCTTCCCCTCTGGACTTTTTGACAAGCGAGCAAGACCTTTAATGAAGGTGAGATTTGGTCCAACTGTTTTTTTTTTATTTATTTTTTTTGTGTGGATAATTTACACAGTCAATATGTTTCTTATGCACCTTTCCTTTTTGTTTTAGCACCCAGAGGAAATATTTCCAAAACAGACAGGTATGGAAGAGCTGTGTTTTAACTTTTTGACACCAAATAAAAGCTTGCTGATATGTAGTTATAATAAGTTACCCCTGCCCTGTTCTCTGTTTTAGCTGTCCAGTGGGATGCAGAAGGACGGCCTTTTCACTTTCTGTTCTACACAGGCAAACAGTCCTACTACTCTCTCATGCATGTGAGTTCCTGCTCTTAATATGCGTATGTTAAATGCTTACATAAAACATGCAAAGACAAAGGGTCCTATTTTAACAATCTAATGGCTTGTTTCCACTGAGTGGTACGGTACGGTACAGTTCGGTTCGGTACGCCGCGGACTCTGACGTCTCTGTAGTGGTTAAATATGAGATATAATTCGTCTTGTATAAACCTAACAGGCGATTTTTGGTCTCGTGAATCTATAATTCGTTCCCTGGCCAATAGTTTGGGCAGAAGGCTAAGTAAAGTTTCATATCTTTGAGCGCTGAATTTGTACATTTGACTGTTTCTTTATGTTATTAAAGCTTTACTGTATAACTTTTTGTACCTTTTACTTATACTTTTAAAAATGATAACTGCGTCGGGCTGAAACTAGCAAAACACACTCGCGTTGCGCTTGGCGCTGCATTGCGCCGGGTGTATGATATGGCCCAAAGTGTTCTTGGTGATATTTGAATAATAGCTGTAGCGATAATCAATATAGGTCCCATATCTGTTGTTGATCAATAAAAGAATTTGGTAACAGGTGATATTTAATTGAAATTCTCTCATTTCCCCTATTTTTCCATTTCTTAATTTCACCATCATTTTACTCTCACGTTAAAAACATTAATCATTTTATTGTTAAACGTACATTTTCTAGGAAAGTTCAATATTTTCCCATCGTGTAGTCTATTATTAGATCACATTTAACAATGAAATTATTAGTGTTTTTAACAGTATTGTGATGGTGAAATTTTCCACAATAGCTGATTTTTGTGGGTTTTTTTTTTTTTTTATATATAATTGTTAAATTTAGACAATACCATACATTTTTACCAAAATACAAAAAAAATCAGAAAATGAAATATTCAGCTGGAAATTAATCTTTGGTGTTGGAACGTTTACGCCGGTGATGTTTAATTAGCGCTCTGATGGCACATTTTGACTGTTCGTGTCTATTGTGTCTTTTAATCAATCTTCATTTGGGAAAACCAACATCTTTTAGTCCATGCTGTTTTCAGTTAACATGTGAATACATCTTCGCCAAACATTATTTGTAGCTCGCCTCCCATCCAGTAATAGCAATAAGATGTGCTTTATTGGTTTTGATATGAAATGTGATATGAAGTTTCAAGCTTTCAGATTATGTGGGTTTTATAACAAAATTCTAAGTAAATGTCGTTTTGGCACCTTCTCTTTAAAGGAGAACTCCGGCCAATTTTTAAGTTAATCTCCGATCTTCACTCTTCACACACTACTCTCCGACCTGTACAGTGCTATTTACCTTTTTCCGGTAAATATGCCCCCATAACTGCCGTTTTTAGAGTGGGAGCTCTGGGCATTAGCTGTAGCAGCTGCGTATTGCAAGCACCAATCCGTTCGTTTTTTGTTTTTTTTATGGACAGTACCGGTCAGGGCCTGAAATTAACACCCGACCACCTACCAAATGCGGGTGAATTTTTCTATTGGCGGGTAACACTGTCAATCTACCTGCCACATTGGCAGGTAGCCAATGAGAATTGAGTGATTCATAAGGATTTTTAAATTTCAACTAAGTCTGCCATTGCGTTTGACTTTAGCTAAAATGTGGCGGCACATTACTGGGGTAAAGAGGCCAGCTGAAACAAACAACCAACAAAAATATGAGGATGAGAAAAAGAAAAGTAAAAGAAGACATTTTAATACAAAGTGGACAATTGGCGGCAATGGCAAGGTTCGTAAGCGGCTGATTTATGACAGCAACTGTTGTTTCGTAACGTTCATGCGATCAGAAGAAGACGAGGCCCTTTTCTGACTACGTTTGGATGTGCGAGTATTAAACTGTTGGTGAGATGGGATGAGATAATGTAACGCTGATGTAGCCTACAGTACAATGAGAGTTGCACAGATGTGTGTTGGGAGTTGGGATGGAACCAGTGAGAAAATATCCGGTACCCGGTAACTTTACCAGTAATAACAATATTAATTTAGTTCATAGTTAACGGTTCCTGAACGCTGTAACTAAAAGCTGTCAGGATCTGTCTACGTGACTAAATCATCCATCAACACAGCCGCGTGTGATTTGTTTACATACGAGCTGCGGCAGGTCTGCCTGTGTTGAGTATACTATTGTGTGAGTGTCAAAATCAATGAATAAAACGATTTCTTTTAAAATGTATGTTCTTAGAGTTATTATTATTACTTGACAGAACTTAAATGTGTATTCTTACAAGTGAAAGAACAATATTGTGAAATTCCCGTTTTTTCACCTTTCTATAAAGGTGAAGGAAAAAAAAAAAACAGAAATTTCACAATATTGTTCTTTTTACCAGCCATTTTTTGGCTGAGGCAAAATATGAGGCAAAAAAAAAAGAAAAAAAAGTGGCTGGTAAAAAGTCTCTGTGGCAGGTGAATTTTTAAATCCACCTGCCACAGTGGCCGGTGGCCGAAAAAGTTAATTTCAGGCCCTGGTACCGGTACTCACAAAGGTATAACGATCAAGATTAACTTAAAAAAATTGCCTGGAATTCTCCTTTACTGTGGCGTAACATATCGCCTCAGTTCAAGTGGAACTAAGGGAATTACTCCCTCAGTGTCACATCCTTCAGAAATCATTATAATATTCTGAGGAGTGTGTTTGTTTGGGTTGATATCAAATATCAACATTGTTTTTTAGAAATCGCTTACTGCAAATTTAATTGATTATTAACTCTCCGCCATTGACAGAAATTTCCGGTATTTATGAGACAACGCTTCCCTGCTTATGTGCAACTTAACTTCCGTATTCTGTCAAAAAGATTGCATTGCTTCCTGTTCAGGTCTTTCGTATGTGCTTGATGTAACAATTTGCTGTTTTATTCAAGATAACTTAAAGGAGTGAGCAAAGACGAGTATAACCAATGTTCCTCGCATATTTATTTTAATAGTATATTATAATATACGATTTAAATAGAATAAACAGCCAACAACAACGTGCACAGGTAGGTTAGCTGATTACTTTAAAAGTACATAAAAATTGGTGTCGGTTCATACTGCTTTTAATACTTATCTAAAAAGTGGATTTGATAAGACCAGTGTTCCGGTTTAGTCATGCGACGTTCGGCATACCTTATTATTGGAAATTTACGCTTTTCTGTGCTTTCGCTGCTGTACATTAGGGGGCGCTATTATGCTTCTTAAAAAGCCGAAGAATGTAAAGTAAAACGATCATCAACATTAAACGGCATATAAATCAAAACTGCCTAATTTTACTGAATGGAATGTCGACCAAGCTTTGGGGTTGTTGGTGGACTCCATCTATGTTTTGATGATCATTCTGAATTTGATGATTTTCTCCGCTTTTTGCTTAAAATGTTGCTATTTTTATGAAACTTACAACATTCGTGTTGATAAAGGAATGCATGAAGCTATAATAATTTTTATGTTGTTTTTTTTTAAAGCTGTGAGTCTGTTCTTTCTTTTGAAATATTGCATGTTGCAGTATTGCTCTGGGGGGCCCAGAGAGGTGGGATGGAAGGAGGGGCACAGACAGAGGGAGGTGATCCCCTAAAAAGGGCCTGGATGGGGTGATGGGGGGGAACAGCCCCTCTGCAGAAAGAGCGAGGCTTTGTTTGACATTTTTACTCTTAGTCAAGAGTAAATCAAATGAAATGGAATGGTTGTTGTTTAAACAAACCAGTATACATCAGAGATTGGAATGATTAAGAAAAAGCAAGTGGCAGGTTTGGATTTGTAAGAAGAGGAATGAGAGTCAGGAAGATGAGTGTGACGGAGCTCTTTCTCCTTCTTAAATCCCATTTACAACAGGGAGCATCACACACTTCACTAGGCACGCCAGGGCTTTGTGATATTAGGTGTGCTCGCGAGTGTGTATGCGTGCACACGTGCTGTTCTTTGTGTGTAGGTGTGTGTGTGCACATCAGCCTCAGGGGTTTTACTGCGATGGGAAGAGCCTCCTGCGTTAACCGGCTCTTTGTCACCACGGCTAATTCCTTTTCAAAGTAGTTTGTTTGTTTGTTTTAGCTTATTTTTCCCATCCCTACCATTCATCTCTGGACTCGACCTTGGGCTACGACGTCTCTCAGTAGCAGTAAGGAGTTTGTGTGTGTGTGTGTGTGTGTGTGCGAGTTGACTAATGCGCCATTGTCCTCGGTGTGCCCAAGCCCCTCATCCTCCCCTTTGCCCTGCAGTGGCTGGGACCCCTGCTGCTAATTTAAATAGGTATGTCAAATCTCTCTCTCAACCAGCTTCGAATCGCACCGAGGTGCTCTGTGTTCATAAACCCTGCAGTGTGCAGAAAATAATGTACAATTCTCCTTCCTGCAGACAGCAATATTATTATAGCTTGAGAAAAAAGAAGCCAAACACATTCAAACTCTTCAGATAGTACACACAGATGGTAAATATGGTCAATTTACCAAGGACACCTGTATTCTGTACCTAAATATCAGGTGAATTTACAGCTATCAAAGTAAGCCACTTGCACAATCGATACAAGTGACTTAGTATTTTAGTAGCAGTGGTCATTTATTAAAACACATTAATTGCGTGACCCTTTTTATTGCATAAAATTACTAATTTCATGTTTAAAGGTGCCCTCTGGGATAAAAAAATCAAATCATACACCACACTCCATACCAGGTGGGGGCAGTATACCTCCAGAAATACCTCCGCTGGCCGCGCGCAACCTCATGTCTTAAAACAACACTGGCGAGCGCTGTGTTGCTCTGTCTCCCTCCGCATATTAATCAAATCAATTGGCACGATAGTAAAAGGTTGGAAGACCGCAGTTTCACGTGCAGAGATTAGAGACTAAATTAACAACATCTCAATACTAAATTATAAAGGCCGTCTCATAGACAAGCCGGTGCATTCCGACGATATGGGAATATTAAAGCCCAGGCTATTATTTCTAGTTTATAGTATTCGTTTTGTTCATGTTACATTTTTATCATTAGTTTGAATTAATTTGACAGACAGCATTCCCTGATGTGGACCAAGCTAGCGCCTTTCAGAGCTGCCAACTCTCACAAATTCACCGTGAAACACACAACTGATACTACACACTCTCACGCCACACATCCATTTTGTCAAGCACAGAAAAGGACACGGAGACCGATCTCAGATGCTGTTATTTTTATTACGCAATTCAAACAACAGTTTTGGCGCTTGTAAATGTTAGACGACAGATCCCTAGCGCACGTGAATGGATCATCTTTACTAGCTAATGGAAAAAGAACACGAACACTGTTCAAAGATACAGTATGTTACAACTTACCAAAATGTATTCCTCATGCATAATATCGACCAATCATTTTTTTAACTCTTCCCTGAACTGAAATGTAGTAGTGGGCTGTATTTCCACACGACTGACATCAGGTTCAAGTACACACACACACAAGCCGGCGCGACTTACTCGTGTACAGCGGTTTGGCTGGTGGTAACAACTAAAATAGGCAACCAAAAAAGCCTTTTTTTTTTTTTTTTTGGGTTTGGGAGGTGATGCATTTTAAATAGGTTGGGAAGTGTGAAGTTTTACCTGGATCTTTACTTGCTTGCCCATGTTTTCTCTGTTCCCATTCACATATATTTAAATTTTATATATGTTTTGTGACAAATTAAATAAATCAATATTGAATAAATGTTGGATAATAAAATAACAATTTTATTTTAAATTAAATTAATTTAAAAATGTTTATTTATTTTACATTTATTTTAAAATATAAGAAGTAGCTGCAATGGAAAGTTAAAAAAAATAATACTTTATTATTATGGATATATTAAAGTGATCTAAAGTGACAGTAAAGACTAGGGCAGGATATTGACACAAATTTCATAATTTCGATTACATTTTGATTCAGTTCTGATTTTGATTCTAAATTGATTATTTGGGTTATGTATCGGGTACAGTTCAATGCAAATTAAGTAGAAAAATATCTCTGAAACATTGCTGTAGTATACAGGGAAAAGTTGGTACATGACTATAAAATTAAAGCTTAAAATTACCTGATTTGTGTAGGCTATAGTTATACACACACACACACACACACACACACACATATATATATATATATATATATATATATATATATATATAAAATGAGAATCTTTATAACTATTCTTTATAACTTTCTATTCATAAAATAATCCTGGAAAAAAACACAACAATATTAAGCAGTTTTCAGCTGTAATAATAAGAAATGTAACTTAAAAGCCAAAGCAGCATATTATAACTGATAAATGATAAAAGGATTGTGTGACTAAACTGGTATAAAATAAAATTAAAATAGAAAAGTAATTTTAAAGTTGCAGTCTGTAACTTTAGGCACTCTAGCAGTTAATAAACAGAACTGCATGCGTCTTGCGGAAGAATATTGTTGCCGGATCTACTTCTCTCTGTTTATGTCTATGACGAGACAGGTATTGGGATAACTCCGCAGTGGTACGACCCAAACCAGGCTAAAACAGTCCCAATATAAACTTATCCTGAGTTATACCTATAAAAAAAAACACAGTTGGGTTGTTGGTAAATGGATTCATGATGCACTTTTTTATACAATTCATAGAAGCATTGCCTGTGTGCATGTGCATTAGCTGGACTAGCCTAAATATATATATATATATATACAGTATATATATATATATATATATATATATTTGGCATAATTTAAGATAAAGAATCAATGGGTTTGACACAAAACTGTCATATTTATAAATGAAATATATTATTTAAACTTAATTTCAATCATTAGCAATACAAAGATGGCTGTACAGTCGATTGACTGGCAATGGCAAAGACGTCCATTTGACACATTTATACGTACCTATACCAAAAATGATTCATTAAAAAAAAAAAACACACACAAGCAAGGTCATAAAACACCGGCTCGTGATGTTAGTACTTCCTGCTTTTAACCGCAGGCCTTCAACTTTGATCTTGTGCTCATTATACTGTATTTTCAACTTAACCTTCAACAAAAAAATCTCATGTGCGCTTTGGGAGGAGCGAGTCTGTACAATTTAACCATGATTTGTTGAACACAAGGAGCCCCGGCCAACCAAAAGGCAACAGTGAAAGTTCATATTAAAAGCTGAGATCGAGGAGCCTCTCTCCCCTCCTAAAGGCATTTGAATTTCTCTGGATTTGTTATGGCGCTGTGATCACGAACGTGTAGCGCGCATTCCCCCAGCTTTTTTCCTCCCTCCTCCCTTTCTTTTCTATTACTCCTCCTTTTTTGTGCTGAAAATTGGTTTTTGCCCGATGTTTGCTTTTTTGGCGAGTAGCGGTGGATTATACGCACTCTATCAGGACCGAATTAAACAAACAGCTGTGGGATAATTGAGGGGGAAATGAATTCTCGCACAGGCGTGAGGAAGGTGCCGACGTGAGCTGCATGCCAGCGCCGGGCCCCGTGTCAGACCCCTGCTCCAGCCCCACCACGCCTGACGGGCACTCCAGGCTCACGGGCGCGATGCCAATTTAGACAAGTGTGCCCGAGGATGCCATCCTGCTCCGCATGGCAGGTTCTCCTGTCAGGAGGACGTGCGAGTGTGTGTGTGTGTGTGTTAGAAAGCAGAGAGAAAGTGTGGGGGGTTACGGCCCAAGTGCTCCCCAATTCAATTTTCCCTCCACACACACACACACACAATTAAATTCAGCCAGAGCCGTAGAGAGAGATGAGATCTGCCTTCATAATGGAGACTGTGTGTGTATCTGTGTGAGCGTGTGTGTCGGGGGGGATTTTCAAATCCCTGCTTTTGCTTCACTGCATCTTTTCTTTTGAGGGATCCCTGAATATGAAGAATACTTCGTCCTTCATTCTGTGTATTCATTGACTTATTAGTCAACAGAGACCACCATCAGGATTCTTGCGTTGTGTTATTTGTGCTATTACAGAAACTGACCACTTTCCATTTCTCTTGGCATTCTAGGATCTGTATGAGAAGATTCTGGCCATAGAGAGACATCAGGACAAGATGAGAAAGGAAGGTCTATTTACGTCAGACACCAAACAAATGTGAGAACTTCCAACTTTCACCTTGATGCATTTAGCAGATGTTTTATCAAAAGCAATTGGACAGAAAAGCCAACAATATTTGTAACATATAATGCCTGTACGACTAAACCCGAAAGAAAGCTAGAGAACTTTCCTCAAAATGATGATTTGAATGGTTAAACTGTTTGTTTCTTCTCAGAATGCTGACTGGGAGCAGGTGGCTGTTAAAAGAGGAAATGGAGGAGCATCTGGTTGAGAACATTTCAGATCAAGACGTAAGAACTGACCGAATCCTATATAAAGTGTGTATTTCAGGGTGCTGTTGGCAAACTAAGTGAATATTGTTATTTTGTGTAGTACGCACGGTTGATCCAGCTGATGGAGAAGATGTTGTCTATGCCCTACGGCTCTCTGGAGGAGGAGTTTGTGCTGAAGTTCCGCAGAAATCTGGAGGTTCAGTCCAGTAAACAGGAGATTCCTGTGATACAGTACGACCCGCAGGGAGTCGCTTTCAGCGTCGCTGACGGTACGACGGAATATCCACTTCTCCAATACATGGGCTGATTAAATATGTTATGGTTGAAATATTAGGTTTTTAGATAATTCAATTTTGCAAACACCATAGAAGCCTTTTTCCCACTCTACTGAGATCTTAACTCTGTAATCAAATGTGTATGACTTGATAATAATTCTGAATCTGATTGATTATTTGCATTTATTCTGCACTTTCACTAGCAATGATAGCCATTTCTATAAGGGAATTTATTAGAATATCGCTTTGAAATGCCGTTTTTATGTCTCTCTGGTGCAATAGTGCATTATATGAGTTCTCCAAATAAATTGAGACGCATGAAAAATGTGTGAGCGTGAAGAGTTTAGGACAAATTTCGCACAATATTCACGGGACCAACATTAATCAATTACTATAATATTGTGGTGGGTTGGGTGGCTTCTAAACCATTGTGGATTGAAAGTTTAATATTTAAATATTAAATTGTCATTCAACCCATGTGTATTAGTTTCCAAATCCTTAAAGGGTTAGTTCACCCAAAAATGAAAATTCTGTCAGTATTTACTCACCCTCATGTTGTTCCAAACCTCTATGTGTTTATTTGTTCTGCTGAACACAAAGGAAGATATTTGGAAGAGTGTTTTAATCAAACAGATCTCATTCCCCATTGACTGACTACCATTATGTATTTTTTCCTACTATGGTAGTCAATGGGGAATGAGATCTGTTTGATTAAAACATTCTTCCAAATATCTTCCTTTGTGTTCAGCAGAACAAATAAACACATAGAGGTTTGGAACAACATGAGGGTGAGTAAATACTGACAGAATTTTCATTTTTGGGTGAACTAACCCTTTAAATAATTATCAGTTTTTAAATGGTATTAACGTATTTGTTCATTTTTTAAAGTAGCTTTTATTTTTATATTTTTTTATATTTTGTCTTTTAATACTTCAACTTCAACTTAAACTTTTTCACTTAATTGCTGCTAACTCTGTTAATATTAATGTTTTATATTATGTGTTTTGTTATTTCAACTTTATTTCAAATGTGTGTTCAGATTCATCGTCAGGTTTTACATCATTGTTTCTGTGTGTGTATTGTGACTGTAGGATTATACTATTTTAGCATCAATGAGACACTATGATAGTTTTTATTCATATTTTAAATAAGTTTTGTTTTTATATTGTCCATTTTTTGTCAGCTTAATTATTAATTTTCTATATTTTATATCTCATTTTATATTTTTGTCATTTTTAGTAGTGACACTGACATTTTTAATTTCAGTTTTAGTTGTTATTTTAGTACATCAAGTTAAACTAAATTAAAATAAGAAATCTTGCCCTGGCAAATAGCTGAAATTAATTTTAAAAAAGGTTTTCAGATTGTATTTAACAAGTTAACATTTATTTTATTTCATGTAACAGCTTTTTTTTCTTTAGTTTAACTAATAAAAATGAGATTTGAGAGCTACAGCAGAGCTGTTGATTCTTATCTGTTCCTCACAACATGAACGACAGTAAATGACACAATTTTCTTTTTTGGAAGAGCTATTCATTCAACTCTTGTGATCCTGTGAGTAAAATCAAAGAATTTCTTTTCTGAAAGGTTTCCGCTTGTCTCAGTTGATTCTCGCATAAAACTCTCTCAGTTTCTTCTGTACGTACTCACTTAATTCCCACTTCACTCTAGTTAAGTCTCTCTCTCTCTCTCTCTCCTTCCCACAGGCAGAAGGAAATCAGCCAAAGCCAGTATCACCCTCAGAGACAGCGGCTCTGGGAACGTCACAATCAACAGCAAGAACTACCTCCTCTACTTTCCTATACTACAAGACAGGTGTGTGTGCCTCAGTTATGCATCGCATCTTTATGAAAAGATCCTTTTAGCATATCAAAAGGTTGAATATTTGTTTTTACTCTATTTAGTATGCCAGAAATGAAACCCGCACCAAAAATGCTCAAATCCAGCATTTGTGGTCCAGGGTGCGTGGTGAGTGTGTTGAGGTTTTTTTTAATGTGGTTGAAAAGTTAATTACACAGATGAGTGAGCCGGAGACCGGCTGCCCGCCCTTATCACTCCGTCCGCTTCACACAGACCTAATTGGAGCAGGAGGGGAGTGTTGCTCTGTGTCAGCACTGTGGGCCGTCCTGCAGGCGAGCGCACACACTTGCGCCGCGTCCTCTCAACAGTTCTTACGGTGGCAGGATTATCGCTTTGTCTAAATATGAGGATACAGTCCTCAATGGGGGATTAGCAGGAGTGTCATTTATACAGATGTTGAAAGCTTGAGTAGTCCAGTGGAGAGAAACGTTCTTAATTCTGCTTTACTCGTTTCTTTCTCTCAGGGAGCAGCTGTTGTTTCCTCTGCACTTTGTGGGCATGCTGGGCCGGTTTGACATCGAGGGCAGTGTGGAGGGCAGTGGGCACTCTGCTCAGGCTGGAGCTCTACGATTGGCCATCTCACGGGCGCTGCTTAGCTTTGTGTCTGAGGGACAAGTGGAAAAGATGAGGCAAGGTGTGTGATGAGAAGCCCATAACATCACAGTGTGGTAAACAATAGAAAAGGGCAGAACATATATTTTAATAATTAGTAGTAATATTAGTCATTATTTGGGGGGTTTACCATATTGCTTTTTCCACTTATATATATATATTTATTTATTTAATATTCTTGTTAATATTTAGTTGAGTTTAGTATTAATGACAGTGGTAGGGATAGGTCACTCAAAATAAAATAAAAATTGCCATTACTTACCCTCAAGTTGTTCAAAACCTGTATGAGTTTGATATTTTAAAGAGTTTTGATAATCAAACAGTTGACGGTAGGCATCCATTGTTGGAAAAAAATACTATGGAAGTCAATGGCTACCGTCAACCATTACCGACCTTATTCAAAATATCTTTTTTGTTAAACAGAAGAAAGAAATTAATATAGGTTTGGAGCAACGCGAAGGTGAGCAAATTATGACAGAATTTTCATTATTTTTTGGGACCTATCCCTTTAACTGCTCTTACTCTCCAAAGCCTAAAGCACAGGTCCAATATTTTGACAGGTTTCTGATAGTGAAAAATAATAACTTGACATTTTTACATCTAATATCTCTTTTCTCTGGTAATCATGTCACAGATGCTGTCAGTAGACTTGAAGTAGTAGAAAACTTTGACATCACCTGTTTTCTCTGATTATCCAAACAGCTGGCCTGCTTACCGCTGATCCCAGGATCAAGGAGAGGAAAAAACCAGGGCAGGAAGGAGCTCGGAGAAAATTCACATGGAAAAAGCGCTGAACAGGAAAGGGGCAAGGCAGGACTGGACACCTGAGAGATCGAGGACACAACTTCTCTCTTTCACTGGATTATTGGATTTTTCCTTGGACAAATATACCCTGCTGATCACAGATTTAAACCAGCCATATTGCTTTCTTTAGTTAAAATTGACTAAACAGATCGCTGTTGGACATCTCTGAGCTGAAAGGAAACCTTTCTGTTGCTGACATATACAGTAATTGTTCTTTTCTGTGTGTTATTGTGTAAATTAATGTTGGTATAAACCAATTTCAATAAACTATTTTTTTCTTATGTGAATATTCTCAGGTTATTTTTTTCAAAAATAAACCCAGTTTGCCATGCATGGCATAGTGAGATTACTGGTTGTTAGATTGGAATGTTTCTAATTACCACAAGAGGGCAGCCAAAATCTGCTTTTGAAATTAATTCACTTTTGACAGGGTCGTTAAAGTAGCGTCTGTTTTCAGATTTATTGAAAAAAAAAAAAAAATACAAGGGTTTTAGAGGCTTTTGCACCATTCTTATTCACCCATCATTTCCCTCTGTTTGTTGGGATAGAGATGGGATTAGTAATGTTTTCTGACAGGAATGTTGATGTTTAAAATGCTGATCAGGAACGTGTCTGTATTGGCAAAATCGTGTTGAATGGAGGTTAACGGACAAAATATTTGTACAGTTCGGTCTCACTGTATATAATTTGCATAATAGAGCGGTTTTATTTTTTTTGTAGCTATTTGGGCTTTTATTAGCTACTCTAGCGTGTTCGCTAGACATCAGTATTTTCAGAGCTAGTTTTGATTTATTTATTTATTTATTTAATCAAAAAACACATTAGCCTACCCATTTAAAATCACTCACACTATTTTGAAAGAAAATAAGTAGATAAGACTCGTAATTTCAGTCTGCCAACGCTTTAAACAGTCCTAAAACAGAATATTATAAAATAATAAAACACGAGATCCATCCCATTTCAAATATCTGGGGAAGTGGTTTATAGTTGAAAATGTTTTTTCCTCCATCACGTTATACTTGGTCTTGGTCAAGATTCTGCATTCTAGAGCAGACTTGAAGGATGAAACATGCTAGTGTGCAAATCAAGAAACGTGAACCATGTCCTCGTCTGTAACCATGACAGCAGTAAGAAGCCAGTGAGTTGGCATGCAAAACTGTCTGCATATTTTTATATGACATTTGAAAGTGCGTACTTAAATCACAAAGTTTGTCTCTCTGACTCGCGTGTTTGGTTGGCAGAAATGTGTGATCATGGATGAAAAGATTTTTTTGCCCAATCATCCAGTAAAACATTTGTGAGACCGGCATCGAAGGCGGCCTGGGTCGTATTTACCATTTCAGTTCATCCCAAAGGTAAATAGCCTAAGGTTGAGTTCAGTGCGGGCCAGTCAAGTTCTCCCACACCAAACTCATCCAACCATGTCTCTATGGACCTTTTTACACTGAGGCACAGTAATGCTGGAATAGAAAATAGAAAACTGTTCCCACAAAGCTGGAAGCATTGTCCAAAATTATCTTGGTATGCTGAAGCATTAGATTTCCCTTCACTAGAAATATGCCAAATGTAAAGTTTGTACATGTATAATGCTATTGGGTTGTTTATCAGTGGCTGGGCTATAAACAACTTCTCGTTACCATTATACTATACAAACTTTGCAGTTGGCACAAGTTGACAGGTAATGTTCTTCTGGCATCCGCCAAATCCGGACTCACCTATCAAACTGCCAAACAGAGGAACGTGATTCATCACTCCACAGAACACATTTCCGTTTGCTCCAGAGTGCAGTGGTGGCATGCTTTACACCACTCCACCTGACCTGACGCTTGGCATTATACTTGGTTATGTGAGGCTCACATACAGCTGCTCAGCCATGGAAACCCATTCCATGAAGCCCACTGCCCAGTTTTTGTGCTGATATTAATGCCAGTGGAAGTTTGGAACTCTTCAGCTATGGAATTAGTGTTGGCGCCTTACGCACCATGTGCTTCAGCATTTGATGACCCAGCTCTGTGAATTTGACGTGTTCTTCCGCTTCATGGCTCCTTTAGTTATCGCTGTCCCTATACGCTTCCACTTTCCAATAATACCACTTACAGTTAACTACACCATCATTTCACATATGGACTTATTGCAAATATGGCATCCTATCACATGACCATGCTTGAATTCACTGAATTTCAAAACAACCTTTTTCACAAATGTCTGTAAACGCAGACTGCCTAGAGTGGCTAGGAGCTTGATTTTATACACTGGTGGTAATGAGTCTAATTGAAACACCTGTTCCCTTTCGTAGTCACTTCGAGTTACGTCAGAAGTGACGGAGATTGGGGGGGGTTTCGCATAGAAAGCCAATCCTCTTCGAGTATTTAAACACGAGCCAATGGCATGCAATGCCTTGGGGCTGCGGAATTTTGCATAGCGTACTCCGCCCTACTCCGTGAGTATAAAAGGAGGAAGTGAACGCAACCGCAGTATGTTTTCGCTTCGGAGCCAAGAGAACCTCTTCACTCCTGAAAGCACTGTTCAAGACTCTTCGAGACGAGCGTCCTCTTCAGTGTTGGTGTGACGGCGGTACCCAGCGAGATTCTGCATCGCCTGCGATCTGAGCAGTGGTCTGCCAGACTTTGCGCTTCTCCCTGGTCGCTTCAGCGCTGAAAGAGTGAATTTCCTCCTCTCATTGAAAGAGCTGCACGCGCACGTCTTTTTAAAGACGGTTCGCCCGTGCTCTTCTGGGTGTGATTGATTTCTGTCGTCATCTGATGGTCACGATCGCTGCTTTGTATGCCTGGGCATTTCAGCATGCAGCAGCAGCGTTCGTGGATGACTCATTTTCCTTCTGTGGGAACATGACCATCTCTACACTGAGGTCGAGACTCAATGATCTCACTTGAGTGAGAGTCCCGGTCCCCCCGCTCGATCGGTTTCCTCCATAGGGGGCCCGTCGACCGGGGACCTGGTGATTTTACGGTGATGGTGTGGATAAAGCCCCGACGATTCCTCGGGCCACACCTCCCGCCTCAGTGCGAGAGCCAGCGAGCGTTAGTTCGATTCAGTCGGTTGCTTCTTCGGTGGCACCGGCTGCTTCGGGCAGCGCTCCAGATGATGATGCGATGTCGATCACAGCATCACTAGGCGGGCTTGACTCCTCGGGAAGTGAGGATGCGGCCGCGTTGCCTCCCTCGGGAGCGTCAGCGCCGCCGTGTCTGATCCCGCGATGATGGCCGTGCTATCTCGGGCGTCCGTGAGCATCGGGTGGGGGTGGAACTCCGCCCATCCCGATCTCTCGCGGCTGAATAATTGGTTTTTGGGTAACGCTGCCGCCTTACGGCCACGGCCAACCCCAATTTCCTTTTTTCCCCGAGTTGCATGCGGAACTGACACGCACTAAAAAAATAAATAAATAATAAAAAATAAAAATAAAAAAGCGTGCTTAGTTCCCCGCCCTTCCTCCCCTCGGCGATGCGGCTGTCTGTGGGTACGCTGGGGCTCCCCCGGTCAACCGGCGGTTGCTCTCAGATGCCCCTCCAAAGCCTATGGGTTCTCGTCGTCTATGGCGGCGCGATTCTGTAGAGCGGCGGGACAGGCAGCCTCCGCCCTGCATATGATGAGCACCTACAAAGCTAGCTGCTCAGGAATGTGCACGAGGAGGTGACGGACCAAGCGAGCTGCGAGCCTGTCGCCTACCTTGTCCTTAAACGGGTCACGGAGGCGGTCGCTCGCTCCCTTGGTCAGGTGATGCCCACCGCTGTGGTCCAGGAGCATCATAATGTTCGGCGGTGCGGTCCAGGACTTTGCCCAGCACTTCTCGACCGCCTAGGAGCAGACGAAGGCGGTTTCTCTGCCCCGACGGCCAGCTGCTGCCTCCAACCAGCCGTCGGCTCGGACGCCTCCGCCAGCTCGCCGCCGAGGACGCCCCCCTGCGGCTCCCTTCCCTCCCACGCGGCCCCAGCAGCAGCCTTCAGCCGGTTCGCGTCGCGGAGGAGGCCACAGGTAAGCGTCCCAAGAAAAGAGCCCCCCCTCAGGCCGCGTGCCCCGCTAGACGCCAGGCGAAGCGATGTTCCTGAGGCGGGCCGCTCAGTGATAGTGTCATGGTTTTTCTCAGGAGGCGGTGGCAGGGCCCCTCCTTCCCCGGTGGAGGGCCGGTGGAGAATCTTTTGTTCTAGCTAGCTCCCTGAGCTGGTTGAGGAAAAGCTGACACTGTCATTGAGCACACAGACTGGAATGAGCGCGCACGACGTCCAGTGCGTCGCCCCGTTCATTCCTCTCTGTCTCGGAGGGCGCGGAAGGGTGCGTGTGTCGTCCCGGGCTACGCCAATCCCTTCCCCCTCTGTCGCCAGACCCCCGGCAGAACAGACCCCGTGGAACGCTCTGCCTTCCCTGGTCTCTTCTGTCGGGGAGCGGGGTTCGACGGTGCATCCGGACGGGGTAACTCCTGCACGCATGCCGGTCGACCCGCCTCGCTGCCCCTCCGGGGGACGTCTGTGGTTCGCATGACCCCGTTGGCTCACTTCCTGGAAGCCTGGCTAGCGCTCCCGGGTTCCCGCTGGGTCATCAGAACGATCGGATTCGGCTACGCGATTCAGTTCGCACGGTCTCTTCCCCGCTTCAGGGGAGTTCGCTCCACGATGGTTGGTGGCAATGCCCCAGTCTTGAGAGCGGAGATTGCGACCCTGCTGGCGAAGGGTGCAATCGAGACGGTCCCTCCAGCCGAGGTGAGGTCCGGGCTTTACAGCCCCTACTTCATTGTCCCCAAGAAAGACCGGTGGGTTACGACCGATCCTGGACCTGCGCATTTTGAACCGTTCTCTCCATCGACTACCGTTCAAAATGCTCACGGCCAAACGCATTTTCGAATGTGTTCGGTATCAGGATTGGTTTGCAGCGATCGACCTGAAGGACGCGTACTTCCATGTCTCCATTCTCCCTCGACACAGACCGTTTCTTCGGTTTGCCTTCGAGGGCCAGGCATACCAGTACGCCGTTCTCCCATTCGGGTTAGCTCTGTCCCCTCGCGTCTTCACGAAGATCGTCGAGGCAGCCCTTGTTCCCCTTCGCGAACACGGGGTTCGCATCCTGAACTATCTCGACGACTGGCTGTTACTAGCACACTCTCGAGCTCAGGTTTG